TGAAATTCAGCACGATGTGATATTAGTTGATTGTACTCAATGATAAATTGTGGTACCAAAAATTTCAGATATTTCAAGCACTGGTGAAATGGATTCCTGTCGTTTACTAGGCTATTTTTGTTGAGTTTTCTAAGCTTGTTAAAACTTTTAATCAATTTGTAGAACTCTACGCCTTCACTCAATGTTTCATTGATTCCTTTTCTCAAGAAAAAATCAAATCCTAGGTAAAGTGTATGAAATAAAATCTGTGGGTTTTACGGCTGATTTCCAATTTTTTCCCAGCTCTGCATGCAGTAATCATTATAGAGTACAGTGCAAAACAAGAAAGGAGGTTCATCAGTGTCTCAGATAAACATTATCTTCATGTAACTGGGTTAGAGCATCAGTGATTTCTGGCTCAGTGACATCATGAGCAGCTCCCCTGGGACAAGGTACACAGTCACTCAGCTAGAAGGGATGTTTAAACAGAGTAGAAATAATAGATTACTTTTGCTCTTCCTAATTTTATTAGTTTTAAAATATTAAGTAAAGGTCATTCTGGCTAGAAGCACAGTATTTGCTGCTCCCTGAATTGCTGTACCTAGCTGTAATTTTTGCTTTCTCTTCGCTCTAAAACGGCAGATTTCTTGTGGAAAGGTCTGAATTACTAGAATTTAATTTCACGTCTCCAAAAGCTATAAAAAAAAGATAATCAAGATGATAGAAAGTTAGCATTTTAGGAAAAGAGTATGATAACTTCCTCCTAATATGAAACTGATCCATTTGAGTTTGCATTTTAAGCAATAAACCAAGGAGAGATGCTCACTCTGGTTCAGCTCTGAGTCTGTAGGCAAGGGGAACCTTTAGGCTGTTGTCTCACTAAAACAAAATCTTTAGATTTTCTGTCAGCTGGGGAACAGGAGAAATTTGACACAATCAGCATAGCCTCAAGTAAGGGACATTTAAAGCATGTTTTGTATTTAGCTGATAGATTGAAATCTCTTGGAAGAAAAGTGTTTCTTGTCTATGGTGCATGTCAATTCTATTCCAGCCTATTGTGCAGGAGAAAGAAAAGCTTTGTGAAAATGACATTCTGTTGTGTGCTGCAGACACGAGGAGCACCTGAATGTGTTTTCACACTGCTGAGCCCTGGCCCAGCAGTGCAGAGGGCTCAGGATGTGGAGACTGTGCTCTCCACAGCCACCCAGGGTATGGGTGAGCTCCATGGGGATGCTCCACGTCCTTTCCAGGGTGTGGGAAAGGAGCAACTGATGAAGCAGCTCTGACACCATCTTGAGATTTGTTGCATGGTGTGTTGTCTGCTGTGCAGTGAAAGCCCTTTGGTCTCTCAGATTTCTCCAAGAGGCTCTGCCAATGCCTGCTGTGAAATTGGCCTTCTTTTTCCTTGATAACACATTCTCTGTGCTGCAGGGGCTGGTGCTGAGTGCTCAGCCCAAAGCATCAGTTGTGTGTTTCACTGTGAGCCTTTCTGCTCTCAGCCCTAAAAACCAGTGCACTTGGTATTCCTCAGCCTCCTCCTGGCGACAGGGCATGGGTGGCCCAATGCCCAGGATTCACTTCCACTCCCTGTCTCATGGACCAGTGCAGGGAGGGATGGAGAGGGGTGGGAAGAGAATTGACTCCAGCCTTGCATGATCACAGGCAATACTGTCATGCAACTCTTTCCTGAAATAGGAAAGCTCCATGTTAGCAAATTATTATTTTCAGCTGTTCTGCAGAAGGAGCAGAGCAGCACGTTTCCTTTCCCCCAGGGATCTCAGGGATAAGAAAGATCAATGGGGTGATGCTATGAAGTTTAACAAAATCCTGAATCTCAGCCCAGCTGCTCCCTTTGAAAAGCAAACTCCTGGATAAGATGCCAAAAAAATCTAGTCTACAATTTTTCCCCCTCTTGTGATGGTGTCTGCAAATCACTTTTAAGGCTTATCTACGTCAGCTCTTATGTCATGAAGTTGTGTTAATCCTGATTTTTTAAAAAGAGTTTTGTGATCTCTATCTCATTTCAATTCGTTTCAACGATCAGTCAGACCTGAGACCTCATTCTTAACCTCAGCAGTTTAGTTTGCCTTCTAGGTTGATGTAATTTTCTTCATGGAGAAATCAGTTTTGTCGTTTTCAAGTGCCACATTTCTTGTGCTGTATTTCTTGAGAAGTTTCTGCATTGTGGCATTTCAGTATCAAGGCACAATTTTTTTTCTCTGAAATTGATGTGATAATAAAACTGTAAAGGTGAGTGACTTTGTAGATCTGCATTTATTTGCAAGGAGCCACTTTGTTAAATTCAAGGTCCTTTAACATGTGATGGAGACATCACATATTTAAACTTGAGAGTTACCAAGAATTGTTTGGGTTCCTATTTATATATTTTTTTTAATTCCTGCTTTGGTATTTCTCTTTATGCCTGAGTCTCTCAGCAGAGAATTTCTGCCATCATTCTCAGCCTGGTAGTTGGCACCTTTCTTCATGATCTGGGCATGTTGCTCCAGCCTAAGAAAACTTCATCTCCATTGCTTTTTTATGACTAGTTTGAGTGCCAAAGTAATTTTTCTTGTTCTGGTAATTCTGTATTGAGCATATTTTGACCACTCCTGATTACTTTCTTGCTCCTCAACCAGCTGTTTCCCAGGCATTTTGTCTTTCAGAGAATTTTTTTCCCAGTCAGATTTAGGCGTTGTTATTTTGGCTTGGGTAGCTTCAGTGTTTTTACCACTTAATTCCTTTCAGCTTCCTACCTCTCCTGATGCCATTTTAGAGACCACACAAAACTGCACACTGACTTTGGATGCTTCCTGAGCTGTTTGATGATACATTGTCAATAGCTGAGAAATTTCTGAACCAAGGCTGCTTCACCTTGCTTTAAAGGTTCTTATTTTTCTGGCTGATATTTTCTGATATTTTCTTTCTTTGGCTGTAATCTGAGAGGCAACTCATATATAAATTTGATTTATTGTCACTTTTAAATGGCTGTAATGAAGGAAATGAACATGGGGGATATGGACTTTATATACTTAGGGAGCACATCTCACAGACATTGAGTCTTTGTGGGATTTCTTTTTTTATTCATTGCTGTTTGTAAGTTTCCTAGAGTTACGAATGTTGATTTCATCCCTCATAGAAATGTCTCTTGCAGCTCTGAACCTTGACCTGGTGCCCAGAGGCCAATCTTTCTGAGCATTTATAAAGATTGGCTTGTAAAATCTGTCTTACAGAGGTGCCAGACACCTGACCTGTTATGTAGGCTAACTGAAAGAAGGGACATTCCTTTCCTTTCTGGTGTCACATTTTTCATGTCCAGTTCTTAAAATAATCTTAAAATAATTCCAATTCCTGAAGAGTCTTCCTTCTGCTTTCCTAAAAGCAATGGCTGTGGGTGAGTTCTGGTGAAAGGCCAGAGAATGAACAGGTGAACAGTTTCACCTTTTCATGTCTGGAGAGTGGAAGAGTCAAGGAATCTACTATTACATAGCAACTAAAGATGATTTTCTATACCTCATGGAGCTTAAACCTGTATTTTTAATAGTATCAAATTCTAATCCTAGGTCTGCATATTTATATTTAAGATTTCTTTAACTGCCTGCAAACTATGGATTCTTTTTGCCAGAGAGCACCAATCTTTATCTGGCTATGAAAGTTCTTTATGACTGTAATCACTTTCTCGTGTCGTGTGTCTTTTTATTATACCCTGTGGTGCAATAGAGAAACCTTTTTTTTTGGTCTTTTTTGAACCAGAGACATTTCAACTAGGAAATTTCCACATAAATTCTTTTAGTAGGAGACAATATAGAAGAACACACGTTTGAGGTAGTAAGTTCCCAATAGTCTTAGCACACAGGAGGTAACTTCTCTTGGTTTTACATAGGAAGCTGTTTTCAGTATGCATTGGAATTTCAGAAGGATCAATAGGAAGATTGTGTTTGAAAAGCAAAGCACTATAGACACATAGAGGTGTGTCACTGGGAGATCCACTAACCTTCTAGAGTCTCTGGGAGATCAGCAGATGCTCTGAAAATTGAGTTTGGACATCCTGAGCTGTCCAGGGATTGGACCATGGTTTCTTCCAAGTGCCAAGGGCTGCTCTGCTGGGATCAGTGGCTCAGACAACCTCTACTCTGTGACCATACCACAGTTCCTCACTACCAGAGTACTTGGATGTGATCCCCCTTGGAGCTTCGTGGCTAACATCTTTTGGACAGGTGACTCATGACTACTGCAGAAAATCCCAGCCCAAAGGCTAACCCTGATCCTCCCCAGTGTGTGTAATGTGGAACAGTGCAATAATTCAGATGGGAGGGACCCTAGAGGTCATCTAGTCCAACACCCTACACAAAGGGAACCCTAGAGGTCATCTAGTCCAACACCCTACACAAAGGGAACCCTAGAGGTCATCTAGTCCAACACCCTACACAAAGGGGACCCTAGAGGTTATCTAGTCCAATATCCTACACAAAGGGAACACTAGAGGTTATCTAGTCCAACACCCTACACAAAGGGGACCCTAGAGGTTATCTAGTCCAACACCCTACACAAAGGGGACCCTAGAGGTTATCTAGTCCAACACCCTACACAAAGGGGACCCTAGAGGTTATCTAGTCCAACACCCTACACAAAGGGGACCCTAGAGGTTATCTAGTCCAACACCCTACACAAAGGGGACCCTAGAGGTTATCTAGTCCAATATCCTACACAAAGGGGACCCTAGAGGTTATCTAGTCCAATATCCTACACAAAGGGGACCCTAGAGGTTATCTAGTCCAATATCCTACACAAAGGGGACCCTAGAGGTTATCTAGTCCAACACCCTACACAAAGCATGGCTAACTTCAAAGTCTCAGGGCAAGTTGTCACTATTCATTCTTATTGCTTGAAAAAGTAATTTTTTAGTATGTTCTGCTTAACCTTATTGGGAGCCCCTTCATTAAAGGGTTTCATTGTGAAAAAATGTAAAGAAATATGTCCATTTATTAACCAGGCAGAGAAACAAGCAGAATATTGAAATATAACATTTTTATTGGTGAAGAATGGTTCAGATAGAATTGTAAAAATCCGTGTTGTCATCAGTTTAACACAAAAGCTGGTCATCAAAATTTAAATATGTCTGAGATTCAGTGTGATTTAATATTATTTTACAGTGATTTAAGTGAGAAGTGGAAGTTAATAATTCCGTTTGGATTTTTTTTGCTGTCTATGTAGGAACACTAAGTGTGTCTTAGAATAACTCCTAATGCTGTGTTTTAGCTCTCTGAATTAAATTGTAATGTGGCTTGTCTCCTTGAAACAGATGAAATACAGCAGATACTGTGCTTGGAACTCACTTTATTGCTTTATATTTATTATTGATTTCTAAAGTCCTTATAGCTGAATACTTTTCCTTGTAGGCAATATAGAAAGATAAGTGATTTTTAATTTAGGTTTTCATTTCTATTTTCAGGGATTGGATTTTGCAGCCTTCACAGGGCATATGTTTGTGGGTATATGCCTTGTTGTTCTGGTCTCCTTTCCTTTTCTCAGACTCCTTTACTGGAACAAAAAGCTTTACAATAAGGAGCCAAGTGAAATTGTTGGTAAGTGTGAGCATGGAAACAATATTACTGTCATTACACTGAATATGTGCTAAATGGAAACTGAATAGAGCTCAGTGCAATGTTATCTTCAAACAGAACTGTTAGCTCTCCTTCAGTCTCTGGACATTAATTTTTCAACTAATAATTTAGATTTTATTTTTAGTTGTGATATTTTCTGATTTTATAAGTGGATGTTTTTCTGGTGCTAAGATTGAGGTTTCAACATGAAGTACTAAACATCTTTCAAAATTTGCAGGGATATTTTGCATCATTTGTTATAGACACAGGCTTGAACCCCAGGATGTCCTGTATTGCAGCAGATAACATCTGCTCCAGCTGCTGAGTTCACCAAGTAGCTTTAGAAATACCCCAAGTTTCCCTTACGAGAGGCAGAGTGAACTGGTGGATTCCCTCACTGCTGGTTTTCTTCCACTGGATTCTTTCAGCAATCTTTTCCTGGTCAGTGGTCAGTGAAAGACTTTTCATCAAAGCAGAACTTTTCCAGTTCATTCCAGCTTGTCTCTGTGATTCTTCTCATCCTAAATTTCCCTGGTGCATAATTTCTGCAGTTCAGTGGGACTGAATCTGTGTCTTTTGATGTCACTCACCTCAGTAGTCTCTAGAAGTTTTGTTAAAGCTGTTTCAATGACTGTTGACTGTGTTGGCCCCTTTTTGTCTTTATGCTTTTATGTCTTTCTATTCAGTCATTTTGAAGTCTTCATCATTGTTCTAGGGCTTCTCTTTCAGTGATGAAATTTAATAACAGTCCCCAAATGTTCACAATTTCTTTACGAGGTAAGATATAATTCACCAAGTATAATTTCTTAGCAAGCTTTGTACAAAGATAGTCAAGAATAACTGTTTCTTCCCTGGGACTGATGCTTTTTTCATTTTTGGCTGCAGAAGATTTAGGGTCCAGGCTTCCCCTGACCATGCAACATACATTTCAATGTATTGTATGATGTCTCTGAACCTGTGTGTTTGGCACCTGTTTAGCCTGGGGAGGACAATTTTTTTCAATGTATTGTATGATGTCTCTGAACTTGTGTGTTTGGCACCTGTTTAGCATGGGGAGGACAATTTTGGGTACAGTTGATATATCTTTGCTTCATTTGTAACCTGTGGAGAAAAATAAGTACTTTTAAAGACTAATGCAGCTGCCTACAATAGAACAGCCCCCAAAAGTTTAATTCTCTCTTTTGAATTTAAGGAGAGTCCAAGGTGACTAACTCAGTGGCAAAGATCTTCATGATAGGTAACTCATTTAGGCAAAATGAGTACAACTTGTAGTGCCTTGTGTTGTTCCAGGGAATATTTGCTTTAGGGGTAGGATTTTATTAAAAAGGCAGAAGTGACAGTCCTCTCCTCAGTGGATTGTACATGTCTCTTGAATTCCTTCTGATAGAAGGGTCAGAGAAGAGATTTCACTGCTTAGGAAATTCTTGTGAAGACATTAGATTTCGAGGGACTTCAGCCCCCACTCAGCACAAGGTGCACTCACCTTACCTGTTTATGTCTCTAGGGGATGAAGTTTTTCCCAGTATTAAGATCCAAAAGATTTTTTGAGGTGTTTTAGAGGTTTTACTACTTGTTTTCTAAGAGAATTAAGGGGACTTATCCTGTCTTGCATATATCAATCTGGTATGAGATTTTCATTTTAAAGCAGCTGAGGTTTTCTGCACCCTTAGAGATCTGAGACAGAGAGCAAGAGAATTAAAGAAGTTACCTCAATCCCTAAAATGCCTAGGTTCTTCCTCTGTGGCAAATTTTTCAGAAAGCCATCAAGAATCTCCTTTTTCTACCCTGTTGTACCCTGGAAGATGCTGCAAGAAGATTTTCTTACCTTGAAAATTTGCTATATACTTCTGAGTCAAAGAGAGAAAAGACTTTCTTTACCAATAGGATACTTCTGTCTCACTTCAATTTATGCTGCATCAGTTTCCATTCAAATAGTCTCTGTGGCAAATTTTTCAGAAAGCCATCAAGAATCTCCTTTTTCTACCCTGTTGTACCCTGGAAGATGCTGCAAGAAGATTTTCTTACCTTGAAAATTTGCTATATACTTCTGAGTCAAAGAGAGAAAAGACTTTCTTTACCAATAGGATACTTCTGTCTCACTTCAATTTATGCTGCATCAGTTTCCATTCAAATAGTTTGAATTTTATGTGCCAGGAATTTTTTTTTCCTTTAAGAGAAAGTAAGTCACTGAAAATTGACAGTGCTAACACATGGAAAGGGATGCTCTCCTCTCCTAGCCATAGATGTGCCTTAAATTTGTCAATCCCAAATAATTAATGTTGATTTTTTGTCTAATAGGAAGACATCATTACACAAAATAAATACGCATAAAAAACTCACTAATAAACATTGTGATCTGTATCATGAGTGGATGATCTTCCTACTTGCCTGGTCAAAGTCAGTATTTTAAAGAGGGATGAAAATGCCATGAGATAAATAATATCCACTCCCAACTTTTCTCTAATAGACCACTGAAATGCACCATCTGAACATTGTCCTCTTGCTCCTCCTCTTCTTTGTGCTGGTGGGGTAAGGCTGGAAATGAGCTGACAATGTGTGTTTGCACTCACTGTCCCAGGAGAGTGGGATGGGAGATTTGGGGTTGCTCAGCCTGGAGAAGAGAAGACTCTTGGGGAGAACTTATTGCAGCCTTTCAATAATTAAAGGAGGCTTATAGGAAAGATGGGGACCAACATTTTAGTAGGAGCTGCAGTGATAGGACAAGGCATATGGTTTTTAACTAAAAAAGGGTAGACTGGGACTAGATGTAACAGTGCCAGTGGTGAAACACTAACAGGTCACCCAGAGAGGTTACAGATGCTCATCCCTGGAAACACTGAGGATCAGAGAGGATGAGTCTCTAAGCAACCTATTCTAGTGGAAGATGTTCCTGCTCATTGCAGAGGGATTGGACTAGATGACCCTGATAAGCCTCTTCCAACCCAAATCTTTCTGTGATTCTATGATTCTAAACAAAGATGTTCAATACGGAGCAAGTTCCTACCTACTCTACACAGGGCTCAAAAATAAGAATCCTTTGAGGAACAGATGATCTCTGGGAAAGGAATTATTTTTATCTTGAGGAGGAGAGGAACCCTTGCCACCTCCCAGAAAAAATCCTGTGTAATTATGCATCATTATATGTAATGATTACTTTTCTTCGTTGCCTGGAAATACATTATTGTGTTCTTGGTATTCAGCATTTTTTTGTAACTTCCCAACTTTCTTATTTAAAAAAGTTAATCTTCTTTTAATAATTTATTATTTTCTAATAAAAAGCATCGCTTCATGAACATTTCTATGAATAACTATTATGTACTTATATTATCTTTAAAAGTACCTCACCAGGTGCCTTAAGATAAGTAATATCTAAAGAGTCAGAAAATTCATTCTGCCAACTGTAAGAAATATTGGTCATGATGTAATAGCATCATGTTGTGCTAAAGAGTCAGAAAATTCATTCTGCCAGCTGTAAGAAATATTGGTCCTGATGTAATAGCATCATGTTGTAAATATATATTTTAGAAAATCATTTTATTGACATTTTTGGCTATAAACCTTTAGAGCAAGTGTTTTGGATTTTTAAGAAATCAAATGTGCACGACAATTTATTTGATTAATTTGATCAGTTCAGTTTGTCCACTGATGTAGTATTTTTGCCAGTGAGACACTGTACTGGTGAAACACTGGTTAGCATATTTTCCTCAATTCATTTCTTGGTAGCCTTTGTTAATTGCAGTTTAGTCTGTTCAGATCTAGCAGCTTCCAAATCAGTAGACCATGTGTCCTTAGAATCAGCTGTTGGTCCATTCCTGTCAACCTAATCAGTGGCTGCTCAATTAGAGCAAATGCTGGAGAGCCACTCATTCTATTGGAAATTTCTGTGGAAGGGGAAGAGAAAGAGAGCAACACAGCTCATTAGGAGACATCTGCCATGGTTTGGGTTTGCAGAATGGGCCCCAAGGAGCTCCAGGGCTCCTCCACCTCAGGGGGCAATGGTTCTGTGCTAACCTCCCATGGCTTGTTTGAAGCAGCTGTTTTAATCAACTAAATCCCATCCTTCCCTCACCCTGGCCCCAGTTAGCAATTAAACAAGAGATGTGAGATTTAATTGGCATATTATTCTACTCAGATTTTGTTTTCCATGTACACCATGTGCTTTGAGGGTTTTTTCTGTTGCTTTGGGCTACATAGATTATTGAGAATGGAGAAGCACTCATTCAAAAAACAGACAATTCTTTTATTCTGAAGATACATTGTCAGCTTCATTTCAGTGATCTGTATAACCAGTGTCTTTGATCTGTTGGCTGTGGCACCTCTGCTGCAGAAAATATTGCAGGTTCCTTCTCCAGGAACCACTATCTACCTGCAATGGCTCGAAGTGAGGCATATCACAAAAATAAAGAACCTGAAGAGCTCACCCATGAGAGAGAAAATCTAATGCTTTTTCAGAAGGAAGGGATATTTTGAGGACTTTTTAAAGTGTGTCTTTCAGCTGATGAACCTGCACATTGTCGTGTGTGATGCAGGAAAAGATGCTAGGGTTAGAAGAGTAAGATACAAAGATTTAAAAAATGTATATATCTACACTTTCCCGAAAGAAAATGTAAGGGGAAATAATAATACATGAGTGTAAGAGGACTTAATCTTACTGTTCACACTCCCCTTCTCCCTCATAAACTTGAAACCAAAGTTTTTTCTTCCCCTAAGGGTTAACAATAATCTTAACAATACAATTATTTAGTCCCTGAGAAGCCTAACAATATTCTACCTGAGCTATCAAGCTGTGGAGATGTGGACATCAGCATTTGGAGAGGCTGTTTATCCCCAGGAGAGGGTGGCACATGGTCTGGTGCCAAGCATTATTATTGCCATTTTTGCCAAACAGGATGAACTTTCTCCCAGCACAACAACTTCTTTGGCACCAGTTCCCCATTTCTGCTGTGTTGCTTGCTCTAGTTTATGATTGTTTCACTGGCTAA